GAAGATTTTATACATTATGGCCACAGAAGAGGACACATAAATGGCCATAAACATATAAAAAGATTCTCACCAAACTCTAGTAATCGGAAAAATGCTTATTAAGACTAAAGTGACTCTCGTAGAAGGCGATAAAACACAGCAATTTGAAAGCAAAGCCCAGGCCGGCCGCGTGGCTCACGGCTGTCATCCCAGCACTCCGGAGGCCGAGGGGGGTGGATTGCTCGAGGTCAGGAGTTCGAAAACAGCCTGAGCAAGAGCGAGACCCCGTCTCTATCCCAGTGTCGGGCGCTCTGCTCGAAGTCGAGCCTTCCTCCCCCGCCGTGCCTTCCCTGCTCTCCTCCCGCCTGCTTTCCCCTCCGCGACGCGTGTCCCTGGGCCTCGCCTCCGGGAGGGCTTCCCGGCTTGCGCGTGGACTCGCCCAGTGGCCGTCAGAGTGTGTGGCCGCGGCGTGCCGGGAGGCAGGCGTCTGTCCCCTCCCTCAAGTAGAGACTTCGCCCTTGCGGGCCTCGGCGTAGCTCACCAGGAGCCAGAACCCCGGGCTCAGCGGTCTGGGGCCGAGAGCGAGAGCCGGGGCTGCCTGCGGGTCGCAGGGGCGCCACCCTGAGAGTCTCCGCCCCGAGTCTCCCCCGGGCAGCCTCTACGGCTCGTTATTACTCCCTAATACTGCAGGTCGCAAATACGCGCTGCTGACGCGGACTGAGTTCCCGTGATTTTGGAAAATATAAGGCGTTCACAGCACAGTTAAAATCGGCCTCCCCCTTCCCTGCTCCTGCCCAGTTGTAGGAGAGCAGGCCCGGCTCATTTTTTTCTATATATGTTAGTTGGCCAATTAATTTTTTTCTATTTATAGTAGAGACGGGGTCTCGCTCTTGCTCAGGCTGGTTTTGAACTCCTGACCTCGAGCAATCCACCCCCCTCGGCCTCCCGGAGTGCTAGGGTTACAGCCGTGAGCCACCGCGCCCGGCCTGGGCTTTGCTTTCAATTGCTGTGTTTTATCACCTTTCTCGAGAGTCACTTTTGGTCTTAATAAGCATTTTTCCGATTACTAAGTTTGGTGAGAATCTTTTTATATGTTTATGGCCATTTATGTGTCCTCTTCTGTGGCCCATAATGTAAAAATCGTTTCCCTAATTGATTTTTCTTAGGATATTTTGAATCATAATCCTTTTTATTTAAGTGTTGCAAATGCCTTCTCTACTTTGTGGCTTACCGTTCTACTCTCTCTACGGCATCATTTTGATAAACAGAGTTCTTAAGGATGATGTCATAATAGTTATCAATTTTTTTTATGGTCAGCAGTTTTTGTGTCTTGTTTAAGAAATTCTTCCCTACTCTGAGGTCATAAATGCTCCTAAATACTTTAAACTTTGTCCTTTTACACTGAAATCTTTAATCCATCACCTTATATATTGATTTTTACGTATAGCATACGGTAGCAATCTGATGTCATGTTTTTAATGCAGGCAATCAATCATCCCCGTGCCGTGTGTTGGCTGTCTGTCTTAGCGCAGTTCCTCCAAACCCAGGGCGTTTCCTTGGGGGGCGACGGAAGAAAACAGGAGTGAGGGCGTCGTGAGGAGAGAGACCAGGAAGAGCACGCGCAGGGGCCAAGCCCACCGGGCCCACCAAGGCACGAACAAAAGGCCTTCCGCCTGAAAGAGAGGAAGCGGGATGATTTAGTCCCTGGTCCTCATTTGCTTTTGCTCGAGGCCTGGCCCCGGGATGTGAAACCCACACTTCCCTGCCGCCCCTCCCTGCCGACCTAGAGGTCTCTCGTGAGACCAGCCCAGCCCCAGGGCGGATGGCAGAGCCCAGGCGGGTGAGCCGGAGGGACAGCGTGAGAGGAGAGCTGGGTGCGGCGTGACCCGTGACCCGTGACCCAGCGCAGCCGGGGATCTGCTGTGCTCCCCAGACCATCTTCTCCACCCGGCAGGAGACCCAGAGCACCCGGGGGTCTGCTGTGCTCCCCAGACCTTCTTCTTAGCCGGACAACTAAAAATATACAGAAAAAAATGAGCCAGGCGTGGTGGCGCATGCCTGTAGTCCCAGCTACTTGGGAGGCTGAGGCAGGAGGATCGCTTGAGCCCAGGAGTTTGAGGTTGCTGTGAGCGAGGCTGATGCCACGGCACTCACTCTAGCCTGGGCAACGCGTGAGACTCTGGCTCAAATGATAATAATACTAATAAAAGGGAAGCGAATGTGACTTAGTGGGTTGGGGTGGGGTGGGGCGGGCACGGCGTGTGTGCCCACTAAACAGTTGCTGTCGGGACATCTCGTTTTCACTGCGTTCCTTTGCCAAATCCTTAATTCAGAGTTTACGACGGTGAGGGGTGTGGGTTGGGACGGAATTTATCAGTGTCTCCTGGAAGAGGAGAGCCATCGTTAGGACGCCCCTTTGGATAATCTCACATTTTACGCATTCCCCACTAGAAATCTTACTGTCTGCGCCACCCGCTGCCTCCCTCTTCTTGGAAGACCGAAGGCCTCCTGCTGGAGGCAGGCTGGCTGCGGGTCTGTCTGCGGAGAGTCCCGAGGCCTCACCAGACGGCGGCCGAGCGTTCTCGAGAGGGATCGCCCAGAGCGGCGGATGCGCAGGGTCTGGGCCGACCGAGGAGGGCGTCCCCTCCGCCCACTCTGCGCCTCCCGCCTCTCCCTGGGCTACAACTGTTATTAACGTTCAGATTTCTGAGATAATGGTTTTAATTAAACCGCTTTGCTGTTTACTGCCGTTGCGGGAATTTGCTAATTAATCTTTATGTAATTGTTTTGCAGTGGCCGTACAGCAAAAGCTCTTAAATTACAAGTCAAATCTCTCACGGAGAACCTGATTTTGATCAGAGTCCCTGTTAACGAGCGAAAGTGGAGGCGGGGATTAACGGTTTAGGGTCCCCGTGACGTGGAGGTTGTCTGTCCTCACTCACAAGTGGACCGGGCTGGTGGGGGGGCCTTCCCTCGCCCACGGTCTGCCGGTTTTGCCGAAGGAACTGCCGATGCCCGTGCACATGGGAACCGTACCTGCTGAACTTTGGAAAAGGGAAATGAAGTGTGGAAAGGCATTTCCGAGTACCCCACAGTGTGTGACTTGGAGTGTGAGCTGAAATGCTCTCCCCCCCACGGCTGACGGAATGGGCCCCTCGTGGCCAAAGGAATACCCTAAAGCAAAGTTGCCTGCCTGGAGGAGGGAGGTCAGACAGGCCTCACCATGCCCCCTCCCTTCTTGGGGACTTCCTTTGTAACCCACTGACAGGCCTAAGGGCGTGCAAGACACACCTGCAGGTCCTCAATTTATACAACTAATGGCGGCTTATCTCTGGTACACAGTTTACGTTAAAACATTCCAAGCCTTTAGACAAAGCTTCGAGTCTTTAGCCAATTACAATCCGAAGAATCTTTAAACCCGCCTATGACCTGTAAGCCCCCCCTTCGAGATGGCCCTCCTTTCTGGGCCAAACCAACGTGTGCCTCCCACGTATGGACCGATGGCTTTAGCTGGAACCCTGTCTCTGAAATGTATGAAAACCAAACTGTGGCCCGGCCACAGCGAGTCCACCTGCCCAAGGCCTCTTGGCAGTGGCTCCGGGTCACGGCCCTCAAATTTGGCTCAGAATAAATCTCTTTAGAATTATTTTGCAGAGTTTGGCTTTTTTCCGTTGACGGGAGAAAAAACCGTTTCTGGTGGAAACGGGAGGTGATTTCTCTTTAATTTCTGAAAGAAGAGCAAAACACCCTCAAGTGCACCCGGAGCTCACTTCCCTCCCGTCTTGCGCCTCCTTGAGCCGCCGTGAGGGGACCGGAGCTCAGGTAATTGGTGAGGAAGAGACTCCCGCGGCTCTGGAGGCCGGGAGGCCGGGAGGGCCGGGAGCAGGGCCGGCGTCCGGCTCGGGCTTCCTCCTCGCAGCCACGGCGGAGGCCACGCGTGGGCGGGCAGGGATGGGACCTGCAGCTCGGCCCCTTCACAGTCGCACGGATCCACTTGCGGGGTGGAGCCCCCTGAAGCCGAGCGCCCCCACACGGCTGCACTGGGGACGGGGTCCCAGCACATGCTTGCGGGGGACACGCTCAGGCCTCGGCACCTGCCCTGGGCAGCGCCCCTCTCTCCCTGGTTCGGGGCTCTGATCCCAAGAGTCGGGGGGGGACGAGCCCCAGGACGCTCTAGTCCCGTCCTTGGGATCAGCCCCCGGAACAGGCACAGGATCTCGGCCGCTCGTCCCACCCTGGAAGCCAGGGCCTGCCCGCCAGCAGGGGGCGCCACTGAGCCGCGCGGCGCTCGGGTTGCAGAGGCCTGGGCGCGAAGCCTGGCTCTGCTGTTCCTTCGCTGTGTGACCTCCTGCTGGCTACTCGACCTCTCTGGGTCTGTTTCCCCATTTGCGAAATGAGGTTTTGCAGGAGCGTGCTTTCTAGCACCGTGGTAAGATGCTGGCCGAAGGACAAGGGACGCCGCCCAGCCTGCTTGCCGCTCGCGTGCTAGCCGCAGGCATTATGGTGCATCATGGGACAGAGGAGGAAGACAAGGAGCGGAGACCGGAGTCCTCAGCTCGGACCGGAGCAGGTTGGAGCCCATCGGGGCAGGATGGAGGAGAATCGCCGTGGGGCGGATGCACGGCCAGCGTGCACACGACTGAGGTACAAAACGGGGACTCGCACACAAAGGGGGCCCTGCGCGGAGGAGAGGCCGCCGCTGGCACCCTGGGGCGGACCCCAGCTCGAGCCCGACAGTGAAGCTCCTGTTGGGAATCGCAGCCTCGGAGACTCGTCTCTGTCCCGCGGCCCTGCGAACCCCGCACGCAACACCTCACGGTGGCTGAGCGGAAAGGGGGACCCCGGCGCACCGCCGGCTCGCGGGGACTGGCGTTGTTCTGTCAGGCCGGCGCGTCGCGTTTCCCTGTTCGGCCTCTACCACGGTGCGAGCGAGGCCCGCGGGGTTGGCCGGTTTGCGGCAGCCACGACCGCGCAGCACCGCGCTTCTGTCCTGCTGTGCTTTCCAGTTCCAGGCCTGTGGTTTCGCCCCGCCGCCCTCAGGTGTGTTCGCGGGCTGCTGGCCTGGGCGCGTCTCACCGCACGGGACAGGTGGGGAGACGGCCGGGCACCTTCTCCCACGCCTGCGTGGGCCCCAGTCCGGGGCCTCAGCGCCCTCGCTCAGCAGCTTAGGGCTCGGCGCGGAGTCCTGCTCGACAGCCGCCCGGGCTCCCAGGAGGCCGTCTGCGGACCGGGATGTAGAGGCACTGAATTTGCTGAACTCACATCCGGGTCCTCACTGAACTCACATCCGGGTCCTCACTGAACTCACATCCGGGTCCACACTGAACTCACATCTGGGTCCTCACTGAACTCACATCCGGGTCCTCACTGAACTCACATCCGGGTCCACACTGAACTCACATCCGGGTCCTCACTGAATTAACATCCGGGTCCTCACTGAATTCACATACGGGTCCACACTGAACTCACATCCGGGTCCTCACTGAACTCACATCCGGGTCCACACTGAACTCAATGAATTCACATCCGGGTCCACACTGAATTAACATCCGGGTCCACGCTGAACTCACATCCGGGTCCTCACTGAATTAACATCCGGGTCCTCATTGAACTCAATGAATTCACATCCGGGTCCTCACTGAACTCACTGAATTCACATCCGGGTCCTCACTGAACTCACTGAATTCACATCCGGGTCCTCACTGAACTCACGGAATTCACATCCGGGTCCTCACTGAACTCACATCCGGGTCCTCGCTGAACTCACTGAATTCACATCCGGGTCCACACTGAATCACATCCGGGTCCACACTGAACTCACATCAGGTCCTCACTGAACTCACTGAATTCACATCCAGGTCCACACTGAATTCACAGAATTCACATCCAGGTCCTTGCTGAACTCACTGAATTCACATCCGGGTCCACACTGAACTCACATCCGGGTCCTCGCTGAACTCACTGAATTCACATCCGGGTCCTCACTGAAGTCCCTGAATTTATATCCGGGTCCTCGCTGAACTCACTGAACTCCCTGAACTCACATCCGGGTCTTCACTGAACTCCCTGAATTCGCATCCGGGTCCTCGCTGAACTCCCTGAACTCGCATCCGGGTCCTCGCTGAACTCCCGGAACTCACATCCGGGTCCCCGCTGAGCCGTCCGCCCCGGGAAGGCGGGCAGCAGCGTTCTCTGCGCCCTGTGCCGCCGGCCCCGCCCCCGGCCGGTGACGATCTCACGCGCGGGCACGCGTTAACGCGGTATCAGAGAGGACGAACGGACAGGCCAACCCCAGGCGAACGACTGACTGTAGCTTGGTCGCATTTGTCTCCGGCGCCCGCGGCCGACGCGCTGGTCATCCCCGCGGCGCCGCTCTGGTTCCCCATGATGCTGCCGCGACGGCCTTCAGAAAGTAGCCGGCCTTAATGACCGCCGACCCGGCCCGGACGGAGCTGAAGGGTAACCGCAGCGGGAAGGGACTCGGGAGGCCCCGTGGGCCCGACCGCCAGCAGGGAGAGCCGGGGTCAGGCCCGGGTCAGCCGGCCCCCGGCGCGGCCGCCCTGCCTCTCCCGCCTGCACGAGGCTTGCCGGGCCGGGAGGCCGCCCGGCCGTCGCGCGCCGTTACCTTCCCCGAAAGGGGTCCGAGACGGGCTCGGGGCGCGAGAGCACGGGGACCCCGGAGCCCCAGGACCGCGCGGGCACAGCCGGCCGGCCGCGCCTGTCCCAGCTCCGATCCGGCGGAGCGAGCGCCGCCTCCCAGGCGAGCAGAGGAGACGTCGCGACGCCTCAGGGGACCCGGGGACCCGCGCGTGGAAGCGGAACTGCCCCTCGGCTGTCGGGCGGCGGCCAGAGTCCCCTGCGTGGAGCCGTGCCGTGCCCACGATGAGGGCCCGGGGAGGGGATCCGTGGGTGCCTCTCGGGGACCCGATTGCCCACGTCCGGCCGACCCGCGAGCAGAAGTCCTTGGAGGAGCAGCGACGGGAGAAGCTCGGAGGACGCGTGCGACGGCCAGGACCCGGGGCTCGGGGCTTTCTCTGTTTCCGGGGGCTCCGTGCTCTCAGCGCAGTTGCTTTGATCAAAACGCTCTGTTCTTTTTTCTCAAAGCATATGGGGCCTTACGGCACACCTGCCATGTCCTCGCTCTTGTCTCTCTGCTTAAAGAAGACTCGGGCGAGCGTTGGCTCAGGCGCCTTGATCCCTTTGCTGTGAACGTTGAAATATCCAGGAAGATCCATTCTGCACATTTCTCCTTCAGACCCAACTCTCTCCTGGACTCAAGAAGGTCACGGGCCGTACGCCCCTCGTTCGAGTCCTTGCCCAGTTCCCCACAAGTGATAACATGCTGCAAAACTATAGTCTGATATCACAACCAGGAAATTGATGTTAGTACAGCCAAGATCCAGGACAGCCGGGCACCGGTAACCCCAGAACTCTGGGAGGCCGAGGCAGGAGGATGGCTTGAAGCCAGGAGTTCGAGACCAACCTGAGCATTTAAATATCTGACCTATTTAGATTTTTTTTGTATATAGTGTGAAGAATGGTTACAATTTTATCTTGTTCCATATGGGAATATGGTTTTTCTAATACTACATGTTAATAATTCTATTTTTCTCCACTAATTTAAGATGTCGCTTTTATCGTATACTGAATTTCCTTACCACACTACTGTTGGGTGCAGTTCTGGAGTTTTGATTCCGTCACTGGGTTGTTTTTGAACATCCATGGAGATAAGGTACATTGATTGCAATAAATTTGAGTCTTTATCACAATGAAGTTGATTATTATAGAGGTGAAAAAATGATTTTCCCTGTGTCCTTCTAAGGTCTTGGCCGAGACTGTGACCTAAGACAGAGCAACGAGAGTAAAGCAGACAGAAGTCAATGAACATATATATATTTATATATATACACTGGGATACCCAGGGAGAAGGAAATAAATCTCAAAGAGGTGTTTAGAATTCAGGCTAAAATACCATCTTCAGCTGAAACAAGGAAAAGGCTGGGGGGAGGCCAGTTCTGTGCAGGCGCCTTGGGGAAACCGGTGGACCAGGGTGAGGTTTGCTGTGCAGATTCAGTTCAGAGCATTCTCCATGGACAAGAGCCTCTTGCGACTCAGGCATCCTCACGCCACTCTGCTGTGGGAGTCTCCTGTGCCTGCTGTGTTTCAGAAACAATCAGCTCGAAATAATGCTCATACCAAAAAGGCGTATCTCGAGGTGGCATGTTCTGGTCTCCTACATTATCCAACAGAGGAAGCACAAATTAGACACGCTCAAAGATGCCGTCCAAAGTCTGGAGCTAATAACGCCGCAATGTTCCCGTTTAATTAATGCAGAATTGCCCGCTCCCGGGAACAAAGGAAATCCAGAGGTCGGAGGCAAACCCCTTCGGTGGCCTCCACTGCTGATGGGACAGGAGGGTGCCAGGCTGTTACCTTGTGTCAACCTTAAGCAACAAAATTCAGAAGATATGATTAAGCATAAAATTTACTCCAGGCCAAAGCTCGAGGGTGGCCACCCAGGAGCTTAGATTCAAATTGCCCTCGATACACACTTTGATTAATTAACAGCAGTTAAGTGGGTTTTTAAGGAATAAGAAGAGGCAGTTCCTAAGGTGTTTTCCAATAATTTTCATTAAAATTACATAAGCTATTGATTAGCCACACATTGTTCTATGTATCACAAATTCCAGAAGCGTGAAGATATGGGCTGCATAGCTAGTCAGGGACAAAGTGCTGGTTACACAGTTGCCCCTGGGCACGATGCATCCCATAGTCTGGTCTCTGAGCCTGACAAATTCCACATTCCTCACATAGCTCAGACTCATCTGAGCTATTTTTATTTACTCAGGTAGCTGTTACTTTTTGGGGTTCCTCTGTAAAATATTCAACCGGGATGCCTTGGAATGAATTGAGAGATGAGAACCTTCTGGAGTTTGGTTCCCTTTTATGAAACCAAAGTATTACCTGCCCGTAGTATCTTCTGAATATCTCTCCCAGTCACTCTTCAGGCAGTAGACTTAAAAGCTGCCATTCCACCATTTTTAGTAATGACTATTAACATATTACATGTCCTGGAGGAATGATCCAGCCATTTTGGAATAATCAGTCTCGGGACAGAGGAAGCTTATGTGGGAAGTGGAATGGCCGAACATGAAACTTAAAAGACACAGAGCTGTTTTATGTGTCTTGTCATTTTGGTGGTTAAGAATCCACAACCAACTTAAGGCATAGCCTTAACAGAAAGAAACTTTTTAGAATTACTGTACAATTTTTAGCATTGCCACTGCTACTTATTATAAATGTAAATTCTAGAAATTCTTCTATTCCCTCTCTTAATAGAGGAGATAAATAATTCCGGTGGTCGGCAGGGGTCTGAGGCGGTTGTGAGCAGCTTTGCTCTTGGTGAGTTAACTTTGGAGCATGCCCATCTCGGCACGATGCTCCTGTGAATCTTTTAACACGCATCGTTACTTGCGTTTCCTTATCTCTCGGGCATTGGTTTTTTGCAGAGGACAGTTACCTTTCTAGATGTTTCTAGAGTTGAAACAATACCTAAATTCTTCTCGTAATTGCTGGCCCATGCACAGAGCTAAGCGGAAGCGTTTAGCCTAAAGGATGTTGCTGCAGGGGTCATGAGCAGACTGGAGCTGGTCACGAGAAGCCTCCCTGCCACCATCACAGCGCACCGAGCTATGCAGCCGAAGAAAGCTGGACGGAGAGATTATTACAAGACGTGGGGAAATTGAGGGAAACCAAAGGGATGGGGGAGTGTCCCTGCAGGCCAAGGAGAGAGTGGATGAACAGAGGAGGCTTCCTGCTGGGAGTGGCGGTCGTGGGCAAGGAGACAGCTAATTCCCAGTCACCATGGGAGGATGCATCGTTTGGCTTCATTCTCTTTCTGCTCCTTTGTCTTCTGCTGGTGCCTCTTCTTGTTACAACCCAGGAAAAGCTGGAGGGTGAT